AAATGACCAGAAAAAGACAGATGGGAAGAATAGAATATATAATAGTAAGGATTGACCTACGGCAATATCTTAAATTTGACTCATAAGAATAAAGGGGATAAAGTGAGAGTTGGAGGAAAAAGGACTTTATAAAGAGAAAAAGGAGAATTAAACTGCAGGCATCACCATCATCATCTTATCTCTCAGGCAACTCAGTCAAAACACTGGATGCTGCCTGTCTAATATCGGGAACATAAAGCCCAGGAATATAAATTACTACTAAAACAACACATCGGGAAAAATAAACACCCTAAAATGTATTTATTTATCTTTATTGTCTAAAATTTTTATAATGAACACACATTACTAATGTGAAATGAGGTTTCTAAAAATCTTTAACTTTTGACACAAGATACAAAGTGGTATAAAATATATCAGGAATGCTTTGGTAACTTATACATGCAAATTAAAGTACACCATGTTAGTCAACAGAAAAGGGAAGAAAATAAATTGCTATACATAAATTATCAAGATATAGAGCTTCTAAATATCTAGATATACAGAACAAATTTCTGGTAAAGTCCATACAATAATCGTTGGTTTTTAAACAGGAAAAGATGTCTGAATACACCGAAACCAAGCCTATTTCAGAGTATTTTTGTACAGTTTTGTCATATTGTGTTAGATACATACAACCACCTGATGAAAACAAAGAAACAATTTTATGTTTTTATAAGAATTTAGATTTTATAATTTCTACTACTGGATATCTAAAAACAGTTACAAAATATTTAAAAAAATGTCGCTTTGCTCTTTTTCTAGGAAAGGTATATGCCAAAACAAAAAGTAAATACAAAAAATTCCTTCACAGAAATTCAAGTGTAACACTTATAAACCAGTACAAGAGGCAGGTATCGCTTACATTCCTCTCTAACTTCAAAACATACCCAGAGCTTTGTCTGTGACTCCACTTTCCTTCAGCTCTTCAGACGCTATTAACTGCGTAAAACATTTCCTCCCCAGGGATTTTTCTACAGCTGCTATCTAAAAAGTTAAAAACAAAAAACAAACAAACACTTTTGGGGAAACTATTATATTAAGTTAGAAAACTGAAAATAATTTGAGAAAGGTTTATTTTCTAAAAGATTCCATGATAGAGACATATGACATTTAACATTTTTCCTGTAAATACTTTCAAAGATACAATACTCTTACCTTACGTTTGGATAAAAGAGGCCTGTAGAAAAAAAGAGAGCAAAAAAGAATTAAAAAAAAAGATTACAGCAGCAATATGCTTCCAAACAAATGCCACCGAAAAAAGACTGCAAAAAAAATATTATAGCTTCTCTGGATTCTAATATTAGCACAGAACATTTCCCCCGCTGAAACATTACCACTGGTTCACATAGTTCAAAGGGCAGCTATATCATGTGTTAATCTCCTTAGATAGCCAACTACTACTGAAAACTCCCAGTAAACTTACAAATGCTGAGATCCAGAAAAAAAGATAAAAAAGCGTTAACCTTTTGCTAATAATGTATTTAAAGAATATTTCACACACATAAATATTTAAAATTTTGGTTTGTAATTATAAACTAAAATAGATTATGGCAGAAGATAGTTTTTATTGGCATTATTCATGGAAACAGGTAACAAAAAAGTTATTTTAAAATATATTTTAGGAAATACCCACTTTAACAGAATGCATATATCCACCAAAAGGCACACACAAAAATGTTCGCAGCCATTTTATTTATAATATTCAGAAACCAGAAACAATCCAAATGTCTATTCACAATAGAATGAATAAATAAATTGCTACACAGTCACATCAGGAATCCACACAGGAATAAAACAGCAAATTACCATTACACACAACAGCATTTAACAGACATAATGATGGGCAAGAGAAGCTAGATACAGAAATCTACATTCTGTGTGATTACATTTATGTGAAATGACAGAAGAGATGAATATATACTGTCACGGAACTCCGATAGTGGTTACTTTGGGGTG